TGACCACTATCTGAAATGACCAAATGGTTATGAAATGAAATTTAAAGTGAGAGTCATGTGAGCAGAGACTGGGTTTCAGTTCTTCTAACTTCTGTGGCACCCAGGCATGTCCTTGATCTTTGCTGGTCCTGGACTTTCTTATCTATAAGTCTTGTCTCTTAGTGTTGTTTCAAGAATCACAAACTAATAGTAACAGTCAAAATTATTGAGTGATATATGCCAGTCACTAGGGTGAATTCCTTACAGGGATGGTCAATATTTAGAATAGTTCTATGAAATGAACACTATTTTTATCACCTTCATTTCATAGATGAAGAAACTGATGCAAAATACTATAACTAATCTGTCCACATTCATACAATTTGTAGGCAAACAGTAGATGGGATTTGAAGCTGGGCATTTTATTCTGGAATTATAATAGCAATAAAAGTGCTATGAAAAATGAAAGGATGACATGGATATATGATAAGAATGCTTTGGGGAGGCTCAGAGCCATGACATTCCTAAGGCTCTTGAAAAGAATGATGTTTGAATCTAAACTATTTTTTTCTGTGTTTCACACTGTAGAACTGACATTGGATTCAACTTGAGGATTGAATTAAGTGACTTTTGAGGGACATTTTAGACTAAGTCAGAGATCTGGCTTCTAGTCCTCTAACTTCTTTGAGGAACCTCAAGCAGATTCAGTTGCTCTTCTACATAAAATGGACTTGAACACATTAGAAGTCCTTTTAGCTCTGCTACTCAAAGGTTCTGTGGAGGATTTCTACAGAAACCTGACTCAAACTAGTTCAAACCAAAGAAGGGATTTATTAGCTCAGTAACAGAACAACCTGTGCATAGTCTTGCTTTAGGCTTGGCTATTGCCAGGGAATTGGATCATATCATAGGTTTCCTTCTCTCCAGCTCTCTCCACATATGGGCAGGATAGTCAGCTAAAAGACTCATATTCTATCAACTAAGTAAACCCAATGAGATGCAGCATTGCCTTCCCTGAAGACAGAAAAAGTCATGGTGAGGAATTGGAAGACGCACTTCGGTCTCACATCCACCTTCACAGTGGCCCAGGCCCAGACATATGTTTGCCTTTTGGCTATGTGGGAAGAATCTGCCTCATACATAATGCATGGGATGGGTTTTCCACTGAATAAGAACTTTCTGTATGAGAAGAGAGAGAGGGTAGCACACAAGTAGAAACACACAAGTGAACTCCAGCCACGTAAACGGAAGACCAACAGAAGCAGTACCCTGGGTCTGAAGCCTCAGCTCAGAAGCACAAGTGGCGTTGTTGATCCTTAGTATTAGAAACAAGTCAGGGCCATATACACCTTCTGGAAAGTTTTCCTCCATCTTCAGGAACGTTTGGCTCAAGTGACATCAATGTATTTCTTGGAGCCATTATTTTGCCTTGTCGTTATAGTTCCTTACAGAAATATATATAGTGATGATCTTAGCACAGGTAATAAGCTAGGCAATAAATGATCAGGCATTGAGTCAAGTTTGCCAAAGCTGTGTTAATTTATGAGGAATCAGCCAATTAGGCAATTTGGCTAATGTCTCTGATGTAACTCCACACCACTGATTGTGCTGGACAAGATGACTGGCCCACTTGCCTCATTCAGCTGGCACTAATGATTACTTGTGCTAATCAGCAGAAAGGAAAAGGGGCACAGGGCAAAGGGCAGGAAGTGTCTGCCAGCAAGATGGATGACCAAACCCTCTCCTTGGCAGTGACTCCTATGAGGCTAATAGACAGAAAAGAATTCCACCAGCCCCCCATTCAAGCCTATCTACACATTCTGTTTGGCTGCTCACATACTCATTTTCCATGTGCTGGTCTGTGCATGGTAAGGTATCTTTGGTTTTACCATTAGGAATCTGGTAAGCATTTTGATTTATGGAAGCTCTGCCTTGAGGAAACTTCATTTAATTTGATCTCTTCTGGAAGTACAGGGAAAAGAAATGAGAAGTGGCTGTTGCTGTGGACTTTCAATATTCTCAGCTCTCCCTTCTCCAAGCTAAAGACAGGAAGTAATAACTTGAGGGTCCTCAACATTAGAAAAATCCAAAGGTAATTCATGAGTCTTTGAAAGGTGGTGAAGGGATATAAGTTATCTTTCTTTCCTAACTGTGTTTGTGTTTAGTTAACACTGGAGGAGTGCTAAAGGAGGAGTTTGGATATCTAAATTCTGCTTGGATGTGGGTCTTGATGGGTAACCTTGGGTAACTCATTTTCTTGGGATTTTGGTTTCCTCACCTGTAAATTGAGCTGATTCTTAAGACCCTGGTCAGCCTCAAGCTTTAAGGGGTCTAAAAAAGTTTCTATGCTCTGAGTATCACTCTATGGTAAGAGAAGGAACTTTTTGGGTGGAAGATGACCAGCCTAAAGTCAGTCTACGTTTGCAAATTAAGTGCCCCCCGTACTAACCTGGCTCAATGGAACAAACACAGGACTAAGAGTCTAGGACATGGCTCTGCTTCCTTTTGCTCCATGACCTTGATCAAGTCCTTGACTTTCTCTAGAGCTTTTAGAAAACTCTAAAATGGGATTCCCACCTTCACATGCTTGCCTCACAGGGCTGGTACATGGAGATAGAGGATGTAGAGATGCTTTATGATATGCAGGCTTTTTTATGTATGTGACTTAATACTGAGCTTGCCTTTGGTGACTGAGAACAATGTAAAAACAACCTGTAGAACCCATCAAAATTTCAGTGTGGCCAAGATGACACAGAGGGAGCTGAAATTTCTTTTACTCAGGTCATTTTGTTTTCCCAAGTTGAAGCAGGACTTAATAAAATATCCATACACCCAGTTTGCCTGGGAAAGTTCTATTTGCCATAGTCATCCTGGTGTAATAATAATACTTTTTCCACTTTCAAAAGTGTCTCTTTTTTGGCCATAAATTGCACTGTTACTACTAAACCTACATATCATTCTATTCTACCTCTTTATTGTACTCATTGGGAAATGGAGACTCAGAGAAGAGAAATGACTTCCCAAATTCACCCAGCATTTGCCCAGAGCCTGAATTTAGCAAACCCCTTCTCTTGGTACCTGGGGAGAAGGGGGAGGAGAATTGAGGGTGAGAGAATGGCTCCCTTTGTCTGTTCTCCAGCTTCTTGCAGCAACTCCTTAGCAGGAGCAGCCCCACCCCTCTCTTGATTTCCTGGAAAGTGATCAGCAATAGTGTGGCTGCCAGTGGCCACCAGGAAGCTGGAGAATGGAGTAAAACACTACAGGATCCTGGAAAGGAAGATTTTTTCCTCTTCTGTACCCATAAGAAGAACCCCATGGGGAGAACTATTAATAAATAATCCTTATTTTGGCACACAGTATTTTTGTTGTTGTTATCATTCATAAAGCATTTTCATATCCATAATCTTAACTGATCTAATTCTTACTGCCTTTGGAAATGATCCTGGAGGCATCATTATTTTCATCTGGTAGTTGAGAAAGTGAAGACCTGCAAAGATAGTGACTTGCTCTAGGTTTCACAGTAAGTGCTGGCCTTGGAAGCAGAGCCCAAGCTCCCATCTCCTGGCCACTGTTCCTTCTTCTCTATGTGGTCCTGAAGGCTTTACCCATGGGCGACTTTGAAGGGAAACCTCATTATAATAAGGTCTTTCTGGTATTCAGGTAACCAAATCTTCTTGGATGGAGCTCAAGGTAGACCTATCTTATATCCTGAATTTGTCTCTCTGGCAAATAGTGTTAGAATGTGGTTCGTGATCAACTGTGGACTTCATTCTACAAACATCCCCTCTGAGAAAATGAGCATGTAGATGGAAAACAGGGTATTTCATCCTGATATAAGATTTTTCTCTTTAAAATTGTTGTTTGGATCATGGAGAATGGTCCCACTTCAATTCTTAACTGTGCTGTGCTTGCAAATCACTGGCCCAATCATTTGTAGAATCCCCATTTCAGGAAGATTCATTCTGCTAGAGACTGAAATTCTTTTATTTGGAACTTGACATAGCCCAGGCCCCCCAGGAACTCAGCTTGACAAGATATGCATCTTCTTCCCTCATCAGTCTGCCCTAAGCAAGCAGCTATGCCAGGGCAAGGATGTTGGTGGGTAAGAGTCAGAGACCCCAGGTATGGCCCGGTTCTGGGTGTGACATGTGTGATGTGTGTGATGTTAAGAAGGCCGCTTTTCTTTCAGGTAGCTCAGTTTCTCAAAATGTCTAATGTTGAAATTGGATCAATTAATGTGTTTCTAACTTGTAAACCTATCAGATTCTTTTTTCTGAGGGTGCTGTGGGAACCTAGCATATATAAATGGTAAAAAAGGAGGGACTGAAAATTCAGAAACCCTTCATTTAGTCCACTTATATGGTGATGTGACATCTGTGTGGAAGATGTCAATGTGGAAATGACTGGGTAATTTCCAAAGGCCCTGGTAGCCCCCAATACTGGTGTTTTAAGGACCAGTGGACTGTCAGTGATAAATGTTAATCACCTGAGAGGTTGCAGTGAGGGTGGAATTCAGGATACTGAACTTGCAGACAGGGAAGGGGGTTATGATGGCATAACAAAGAGTAGAATTTGGGATGGGAGGGCAGCATAACACACTTGTCAACCTTCACGAGTGCACAGTACTTTACAGTTTATAAAGTATTTGTACCCCAGTTGTCTCTTTTGAGCTTGCCCAATGCTGTGAATTCAGACATCTCCACAAGATCTTTAATGAAGCACCTACACTAAGTGCTAGTTCAATGGTGGAGCTCAGGACTATAAAGAGGAGGAGGAGACCATGTGGGCCTCAAGGAATTCATCTTCTAAGAAGAGAAAAGGCAATTGCCAAACAGAAAGGCTCTGAGAGAGGAGCAAACAAAGGTTGAAAGAAACAATTCATTTTTCCTGGGGAAGGAGGGAAGGCAGGCTTAGGGTGGGGCCCTGCACATTAAGTTCCCTGGGCTTTTATTCAGTGCAGTCAGACAGCCTGAGAAAGTTCAGTGCACAATGGGGAGAGGGGAGGAGCTGGGGAAACCTACCTTGCGGTGGCCAGATGGGAAGAGCTTTGAATGCCATGCAAAGAATTTGGACCCAGTGGCAATCAGATCTCCATTTTTCAGATGAGGAAACAATCTCACAGAAGTCAGGACTTTCGCTGAAGCCACTGCGCAGGTGATGTAAGCACAGGGCCTCTGAACCCTGTGTCCTGTGGCTTTTTCTGCTACCCTGTGCTGCCTCCAGCAGGCCTGAACAGAGGCAAGCCCTGCATGGGCTGGGCCTCCAGGCTGTTTATCCTGCTCAGTGGGCCTGGCTCTGGCAGGGAATGGAAGTGGGTGGGGTGGGGGCTGTGGAGGAGAGGAGGGGCCTGACAACAAGGGCTACATTCAAGGCCTGCACTGGAGCCGGGTAAGCAGAACGGAAAGCTACAGTCTCTCAGAGCGTCCAGCCTTGGCAAGGCGGTCGGGGCCTTATAAGGAAATGTTGTTCTCTCCCAGCCAGTGGGGCTGGGATGGAGCCCTGTGCCCACAGGACAGAGCCGCCCTTGTGGTAGGCTGGGGGTGCCACCCGCCCCTCTGCTGCAAGCAGGAGCTGAGCTCTCAATGGGTCACTTCTGCAGGCTCAGCATTCCCTCTCAGCCCCAGAGGGCCTGCAGTCCCCACCCACTCAGGCCCCCCCACTCCCCAGTTCCCTGGGCTGATTGGAGGAAAGGAAAAAAACAAAACAAAACGAAGACTTGGCAATCTCCCAGGTCTCATTGCTGTTTGATGCCGAATTGCCCAGAAAACAGGCTCAAGTCAAATTCTCTTTTCTTCCCCTGACCCAAAGTGGGCATGAGTGAAGTGACTACTGTCTGCCTGCCCTCCCTCCCTGCACCCTGTCTCCTCCTGTGACCACAGAACTCCTGGGGCTGGTCTCTGTCCCCTGCAGAAGGGCAGGACCTGAGACAGTAGGAGGGAGGAAGCCTCTTGCTGGGCCTTTTGCACTTCCCTGAGGGAGGTCAGGAGCCACTGGTGCCCTCCTGGGAGATGTGCCACTCTCTTCAGACTCCTTACCTGTGCCAGGCAGGCCAGGGGGCTGGAGAGACTGACAAGGGTGCAGAGGAAAAACACAGCCGCCCACTGTCAGCATTAGTCAGCTCCTGGAGGGAGCGCCTCTCCACAGTGCACCATGAGCCGTGAGTGATTTAAAGCAGAGATTCCTGTGGGATCTCCCTGGACCTGAGACTGGGGGTAGGAGCAGAAAAGATGCTTAGTGTAGCCTATTGCTTTGCCTATTCATAGACTCACAGATACATGAAACCCTGGAGCTATGAGAAAACGGGTCGGCCAGCCCAGCTCTGCCTCTCAAGCAAGCCTGGCAGACCTCAGCTCTCCTGGGCACTCCCAGTGACCATGAGTGTGGCCCTCAGGTCAGTCCCTCCAGCATCTGTAGGTGGAGCCCTCTGTATCAGCCATTAGGGACCACCCTGAGGGTGCTGTCTGGGGCAAAGTTATTAGAAGCACCCAATGAACAAAATGAGAAGGAGAAAGTTAGGAGCCTGAAGAAAACACTCTTGGAGTTGAGATGCAAGACAAATTCCTCCTGACCAGTTGTATAGAGCAGTGAACAAGAGAAGGTCTTGTCAAAGAGATGACATTTGGAGTAAAGAAAAGACAGGGGTTCAAAAAGTGGCATTTGAGAGCTTGGGAAGCAGGGAAATGATTTCTGGGGTGGGGTCTCTTCAGAGCAAGCCTGGATGGTGGGAGAGCTGGGGCTTGCTTGGTACCTGGGGAGAGATGGGCATGCCAGGTGTGTAAGCTGGGAGGAGGGAGCTATGGCTGGGAAGTATGTTAGTGCCAGATTTTGGAAGCCCTGAATGCCGCAGAGAAGAGGAGATTCAAGTGACGGCCAGGCAGGAGCCACTGAAGGCTTTAGAGAGTCAGAGAAATGTGAGCAGTTCTGTGGTTTAGGCAGAGTCTGGCAGCAGGTACAGGAAGAATTGGATGGAGAGGCCTCCTTTACTCATTTCACTGAAGTCAGGACAGTACTTCTGCCCCACTCACAGCTTTGGGTGCATCAGAGGCCCCTTCCCAGGGTCTGGCGGCCTAGATCTCCAGATGCCAACTAGCTCCCAGGGTTTCCAGCTCTTTGAACAACCAGGAGAGGATGAGGACTGGCCACTTTGGTTCACTGCTCTTTTTGCATAGAGATAATTTCTGCACAAAGTCTTTCTGTTCAGATGGGGCTAAGCAAACTAACCTTCAGTCCTTTTTTGGGAAGAGGTTATTGAAAAGCACCCAGGGTTGCAAGGCAAAGACACAGTGATGCCATGTCATCTCAGAGAGCCCATCCCCAGGCAGGTATCCACTGCTCACACCTGAGCCTGTCTCGCCACTAATAGTGGGTGGTGACCCACTGCCTGAGTCCCCCTCTATTGTTTCCTTCCCTTCCTCTGAGGCCTGTCCCTATCATGCCATCCATCACACTGAGGAGGAGGCATGGTCCCTGCTGAGAGGAGAGCAGGAATAACTCCTTGTTGGCCCATAGCAATGAGCTCTCTTGACTTCTGGCCGTGGGCCGGCAGTCAGGCTGGCTGTGGCCCACTGCCCTGCTCGGCGGGCAGGCTCTGCAGCAGGATCATGAAGAGCTTGAACTTGATCCTCGCACCTGCTTCCTGCCTCATGGCCATGCATGCCAGCCTGGAGGCACTGATGCTGTGCATCTCAGAACAGATCTTGCTTCCCCACAGCTTTTCCTTCTTTCACAGTGCAGAAACTGACCTTGGGGCCATAGAGATACAGTTCCAGTCATGGAAGAGAAGAAGGATACACAAGTAAAGGGCAACATGGGCTGCTTTGGGGGATGACGCAGCCAATAATAGGCAGGGTTCTGCTGATAGGCAGGGTTCCTCTGATAGGCAGGGTTCCTTTTGAATTTCTATTAGATGAAAATGAATTTATTTCTTCCCTTTCAAGGGCATATGTGAACAGTTTGTGGTGAGATATTATCTTAACTCTAAAGAGTGAATTTCAAATAACAAACTCAGATGATGACTGGAGTCCTATTTTGTGAAGCAGGAGTCTGGGGCCTCTTTAATTTTTATTGCCACCATTTAAACTGTCTGCTGGCCTCAGTCATCTCCAGTTCAGAAAAATGTCATTGGCAAATCTTTGTAGCTTTTCATTTTGTTTAATTATACTTGATCATTTATTCATTACCCACTCATTTCTTTGATTTAGAAATGAGTAGTTAAAAAAAATAGAAAAGTATTAAAGAAAGGCAGTACAGGCCTTCCTCTTCCTCTTTCTCCCATTATACTGTGTCGTCTCCCAAAGCAGCCCACGTTGTCCTTTTCTTGTGTATCCTTCTTTGTGAAGTTTGTATGGATATGAGGATCAAGGCCTTTCCTCATCCAGTAGGCCTAGCTCACTAGAAAGATGCAAGCCTGTTCAAACAGTTCTCTAGGGGCAGTCGCTCTTACAGGTTTGTGTGCTCGGGATGCTGACCTGCTTCCAGATGGCAGGTAGCTTCACCCTCACCAGGGTCTGTAGAGATCCCTCATGTGTGATGATATGCTGAGGGCACCAGAGCACACTCCCCAGAATGAGATTTAAATACCATCCCCTGCATGATCCACAGAAAATGAATCATACAAATACTGTACCATGAGCACGGGTGCAAATAAGGAAGGATCTAGGGAGGAATTTGGTATCCAGGTGACTAGGCTGGGAGAGTCCCTGTGGGGTTAGCATCCTCTTCTCTGAGCCATTTTTCTCTGGTTCCTTATGGTCTGAAGTAGACTGAAATGTCCATTACTGGTTCTGGGCCTTTACTTACTGATCACAGAGAAATCTCAGTCTGTGCTTGCTCACCCTGCGACTGGCAGTGTCACTAACAGCTGAGCCGCTCACTGATGGTGCAGGACCACTGCCTCGCTCACTGATGGCACAGGAGCCTGACTTTGCTCACTGATCCCAGAGGAGCACTGCCTTGCTCGCGGGTCATGCAGGAACACTGTCCTATGCATTCATCGTGCAGGGGCACTCTCTCATTCACCGGTGGTGCTGGAGCTGCATTTTCTCAGTGAGGATCAGGATTCATCAGTCCTGGCAGCTCTGGTCTCTGCATGCTGGTTGCTAGGAAAGGTTTTAAAGCCTCTTCGGTGTGTAGAGTCTCTTCTTGATCAGAGTTCAAACTGAAAATGGATCCTTTGTTTGCAAGCACAGTGACACTTGCAGTGTAGTATCATTACATATCTCCCAAGCAACAGCAGCCTGGAACACCATTGTTTAGCCACTTCTTGCCCAGTATCATGTGGGTTTCACTTACAGAAGGATCTACACGGTAAGTGAGGTAGAGACAAGTCAGCACAACACAACTATAAATATCTGATAGAAACAGATGTATGGGATCTAACTGGGTGGGGAAAACAGATGTGGATAAACAGCTGGATAGGAATACAGGTTTGAACCTACTGAAATATTAAGATAATGGTATAAAGGATAAGATTAAAGAAAAAGTTATCTATAGTTCCTTTATTTTTTGCAACAATTTTTATTCTTAGTCCCTTTAATTTTTTTAAGTATACAATACACATTTTCATGTAGCTGCAATCATCTCTCAAATACTATTCACAGTCTGTGTTTTTACTTAATGGTATAAGCACTTGCCATATTGATCCCATCTTTATTTTATGGCTGCAGAAATGCCATTGTGGTGATTCACAATACATTTCTTGCTTTTACCTATTGTTTCAGTTTTATGTCTACAGCTGCTTAGTGTTATGGATAATTTTGTAAAGACCATCTTAGGATATTTAGCTTTGTGCTTTTGTTGATTTCCTTCAGATCAAATTGAAAGAGGGAGATAACTTGGCCAAAGGGTATGGACCCCCTTATAAGGGGCAGCATTCCCTCTGGCACAAAACTAACTGTGCAAGGAAGATTTCTAAGTCTCATACAGATCTTATTGACTTGGGGCCCTAAGCCAGCAAAGCGCATATCACCTGGCAACTGAACAGAAGAGCTGAGGTTTCCTAGGCCCTGAGGGAGATGTGTTGCCGCACAAGTTCCGTCCTTTTGACAGCAGAAGATGGCTGGATGCTGCTCCAGGGGTCTGCTGTATATGAAAAGGTCGTTCATTTGTGGCTGCCATATAAGGGCCTATGAACGAACAATTGTTTGGCAATGAAAGCAAATCAGAGCTGAGATCTCAGTTCTTGTACTGTGGCTGTGGGGTGAGGGCTGCAAGTCACTGTATTCTTGGTGCAGGGACACCGTGGTCCACATCAGTGGCACTGCCATGGGCACAGCCTTCGGGTGGCAGCTGTCCAGTGACAAGCACCCCAGATGTCAGCTGAGGTCCTCAGAGACCTGATTAAACCTGACCCACACCCCACAGCCAAGCCTGTGAGAGCCTGGAATCCACAACCCCATTTGCACGAGTGCCCCCAGGGTTTGTCAGCATGCCTTGCTTCCTGCCCTCTCATCTGAGGGTGCTGCCAGGTTCTGCCTGCATCAGTGCAAGGAGCAGAGCTCAGCTCCCTCTCTGGTCTTCAAGAAAAACCTCTTGTGCCCAGGCCTGTGTGAGTTTGGAGGAGTCTCATCATAGATGGGGAAGCCTTCCACTTTCTTTATAGTCCATCTGTCTCACTTTCCCAACTTCGTTCATCTGAGAAACAAACAACTGATTTCCCCGTCTTCCTCTGAATAGTTCCCCCATACCCAGACCCCTTCTGTGCCCATGCAGGGATCTTCCCAAGTAACTGCATATCACTCCATGAATGGAATTCTGATAGATAATATTTCTTCACCTGCTCTCAATAACCATACCCTTACAGGAAGATGACTAGTGGCATTTTGTTTTGTTTTATTTTGTTTTTCTAAATGAGATAAAAATTCATATAATGAAGAATTGTTTCCAGGATACTTTTCATCTCATTTGAGTCTCCCAGTGACCCTGACAGATGATGGGTGGACAGGCATTATTATTCTGTGTTAGAGAGGAGGAAACGGTGGCCTGGAATGGGGAAGAACCTGTTTTAGGGCACTCAATTGATTATCTGATGAACTGGAACCAGAACCCAGATCTCTTCCTAGGCTCAGTATAGGTCCTTTTCCACATCACACAGTGCCAGACTATCTGTTTGGGTGTATCACAGAGCTTTCACTACAGCAGGCATTGATAAATGCTGTTCAGTAGGCATGACTGAGCCCTTGCTCTGTGCCTGCCTTCAAAGAGAGCAGAGTGAAGGTCACATTAATAAACTGAGGTACTTATTATCCCAGTACCAACTCTTAGTTCAATCCAGGTGTGATAGACCAAATGCAGTACATGCACACATGGGAATACTACTCAGCCACAAAAAGGGATGAAGTGTTGACACACGTCATGATGGTGGATCTCAGACACATTTTAATAAGTGAGAGAAGCCAGACACAAAAGGCTATGTGTCCTCATGAGTCCATTCATAGGAAACGTCCAGAAGAGGCAAATCCAGAGACAGGAGAAGACTGGACTGGTGGTCTAAGGGGGAGGAAAAATGGGGGAGTGACTGCTTAATGGGCACAGGGTTTTCTGTTGGGGTGGTAAAAACTAGCTGGAACTATACAGAGCTGATGGCTGTACCACATTGTAAATCTACTAAATCGTAGACTTTAAAATGGTTCATTTTATGTTATGTTACTTTCTCTTCATTTGAAAAAGAGGAAAACTGAATCAACAAATAAAAACCAGGCGTGAACTTCCTCTCCCTTCCTTGTGCTTTGTATTTCTTGCCCAGTTCCTGGAGATGTTCCCTTGCTGGACAGGGAATGAAAATGTGCGGACTCAGTCCTCAATTCTGCCCCTTTTTAGCTGTGTGGCCTTGAGCTTATGTCTATGGACCTCAGCCGCCCAGTCTGCAAGATGAGATTGTCCCTGATTTTATCCAAAGCCCCTCCTAGGTTGGCTTCTGGGATCGGCACAGAAAGAAAGATGAAATTTAGGGAGGGGAGGGAGGTACTCTGAATTTCTTTTGAACCTTTCTCTTCTCAGCTGGAGGACTTTTAATTTCCTCTGTCCCCAGGCACCAGGAAAAGTCACACAGATACCAGCTTTGGCTCCTGATCTGGCTGGCACTGCTGGGCTCCCACCATGCTTCATTGAACAACGTGAGCCCCTTGGCAATCCTGTTAAGCCATCATGGCAGTGAGTCATTTCAATACCACCCAAACACCTTTCTGTTGTGTCCTGGCAGGGAGAGGAGCTCCAGCCAGAGCATTAAGACTTGACCTGCAGCAACATTCTAAACATAAATGGGAACTTTTACTTAGGCTGTGACTTGGAAACCCATCTTGCCTAAATCAGTGTTCAAAGAGCTCAAACTTGCTCTTTCACTTACTCCTTCTTGGAGCCCCTGTCACACCCCAGGCACTGGGCTAAGTTTCAGGAAGACATAGACTTATAGCCTCTGTCTTCAAGGAATTCATGTCTCCCAGGAGAAACAGACTTGTAAACAGGAAATGTAGCATATGCCCAGGGCAGCAATGTAACACATAAAATAGGACAATAGGCAGTTGGAGGAGACAGCATTCCCTCTGGGGTGAGAGTGAGGCCTGGGGTGGAGGGCCAGGTAAGGTCTTTACTATCGAAGTGATGCCTAGGCTGGGTTTTGAAGGATAATGAGGAGCTTCCATGTTCCAGTGGTGCTCCAAGGTGTGTGGTGCTTAAAGTGGTTGGCTGAGTGCCGAGAAGTGTTTTATCACTGTCAGTGTTTAGAACAACCAGTACAATGTGAAAGCCAAAATTTAGTTCCCATCTTAAATTCCTACAGACAGTGCACTTCCTTGTCACCTAGACCAGGCTGGACTGTCCTCACTGTCCCCATGGGGATAGGGCACTCCAGGCGGCAAGTGACACAAGCACAGAAGAGGCAAACTTCAGAATGTATTAATGAAACAGCAAGCGATTTGTAATGAAGGGGCCTGAATATTTGGAGAACCAGTGCTAGAGAACTGAAAATGAAGCCTCATTCCTTGAGGGCCCAGGATACACTGTATTAAGTCTAGGTTTTATCCTAGAAGGCAGTGGGGAGCTGTGGAGGGTTGTCAGTAAAGTGGTTGGCTGAGTGCCGAGAAGTGTTTTATCACTGTCAGTGTTTAGAACAACCAGTACAATGTGAAAGCCAAAATTTAGTTCCCATCTTAAATTCCTACAGACAGTGCACTTCCTTGTCACCTAGACCAGGCTGGACTGTCCTCACTGTCCCCATGGGGATAGGGCACTCCAGGCGGCAAGTGACACAAGCACAGAAGAGGCAAACTTCAGAATGTATTAATGAAACAGCAAGCGATTTGTAATGAAGGGGCCTGAATATTTGGAGAACCAGTGCTAGAGAACTGAAAATGAAGCCTCATTCCTTGAGGGCCCAGGATACACTGTATTAAGTCTAGGTTTTATCCTAGAAGGCAGTGGGGAGCTGTGGAGGGTTGTCAGTGGAAGCATGATATGATCAGTTGAGGGTGGATACAATGGGTTAGGAGGCTGGTCAGGGAGCTCTGAGAGAGAGAGGGGGAGGATTATACCGAAGCGGTTTGTGAGGTAGGAAGCAGAGAATGGCAAAAGGGGAAGTGTGCAGAAGTTAAACTCTGAAGCCTGAGAGTGATTGAGAGTGATTGGAGGGATGGCTGGGAGAAGGGAGGTTGAAATGAGGCTCCTACTTTTCATCCCCTGCAAGTGTCAGAGTTGGAGGGATGTTTAGGACCACCGGCCTCAGTGGTGTTTGTGGCCCAAAGAAGTGCAAGATGCTTACTGCCTAAGCTTGTGAGCTGGTGGCAGAGCCAGAGCAAGATCCCTACTGCCTAGAACCCAGCCAGCCAGGGCTCTCTCTGCTACTGTGGCTGCCCTCCGCTGGCCTCGCCCCTGCCCTACACCCCACCCCTGCTGGCTGAGCCTTGCTTGCCCTGCACAGAGGAGGCCTTTTTCCCACCTTACCTACGTTCAAAGCAGTGTGATCTCAGGAAGACACTCCCTTCTTTGAGTCTCTCTTCTTATCCCCAAAAGAAAGGCTTGCAAATGTGGGGCTTTCTTCATTGCTTTCTGTTTTCTGGTTTTTGGCTTTTTGTTTGCTACAGCCCTTGCCATTTCCTTTTGCTTTACCCTAGGCCCACTTCGTGCATTTCTGCCAGGTAGTCCCTGGACTAGGTCTCCTCCGAAGTCTCTCTTCTTGTCTCCAGAAGTTGCAACTTGTCCACGTAGAAGATCTTGGCTTTCAGGGCTGTACTCCCAGGGCTGGGCCACCATCCTGTCTTGGGCTCAGCAAGTCTGCCTCCTTCTCTCCCCGTGCTCTCCCTGGATCCTCTGCCCCTAGAGCAAGTCACCAAATGCAGGTATAGATCTGTCACCATGTGCCTGGGTAAACTTGTGGCCCTGCTCGTGTTCTTTCAGGAGGAAACAACTTTGGGGCCTGTGATCTGTGAAGACAGGGTCCTCAGAGTGGACCAGCCCACTTTGCCTGTTCTCCTGGGCCATCACAGTCTCCTGGGCCATCACAGTCTCCTGGGCCATCACGGTCTCCTGGGCCAGGCGCCTTAGGGGGAGATCTCAAGGAAAGGTAGCAGTTCAGGTGGGTTTTCCCATCAAATCCTCTCCTGCGCCCTTCCTGCCCCCTCCCTTCCCAAGTGGCATGAGATGAGATGAGAGAGACTCAGGATTGTAGGGGAGGGGTGAGGAACTCTCAGAGGCCCTGGGGTCATGGCTCCAGCCAGTGCAGAAGCCCCTGGGGTTCTGCTCTCCTTTAATCGCTCAGTCTTCACTTGGACACTCCACACACTTCATGTGTGGCTGTGTGGGGCAGTTCGTCCTGTCCTAGTTTAGAATCATCTTCCAGATAATGATGAAAACTGCCTCCTTGTGACTCCCTATGATCTGCCCTCTCAGAGCAGAACAAATCCTTCTCTTGCAAGGCAGTTTTCTGAGTGTATGAAAAAAGATCATATATTCTACTTCCATCCAACTCCTTTCTTTTCTTCCGGTTATCAAAACTCTCACATCATACAGTTGCCATATTCTAGATGTGGTGCCTCCAAAAGGTAAGATTCCAGATAGGGGTTAAGTAAGTTCTGTAACAAACAAACCAGAAGTGCGGGTGGCCTACCACAAAGGCAGTTCACTTCTCCCTCTATGACCAGCTCTGGTCTCCTTTCACACAGTGATTCCAGCTCCCAGGTCCCTGCTAGCTTGGATCTCCATCATCCCTGGAGCAGTGGAGCCCTCTCACTCCTGTGGACAGATGGAGGGATGGAGCATGGAGAGGCATGGAGAGCCCAGCCTGGAAGGGACACTCAGCCCTGTATTCTCATTCCCTGGTGAGAACCAGCCATGCAGTCTCATCTTACGCTTATGTGAGCCAGGCAATTCAGCCTCTGCCTGGTCGGCTGCCCTGTGGAGACAACCTCCCGCAGTGGGGGCAGGAGGCTGGGGTGCATCAGAGGGGCGGTGGGCCATCTCTGTTGCACCAGAGTAACCCTTCCACCTCTTCTGAGCAGCAAATGTGGGGAACGCATTAGAGGCTGAGATTAGGGCCCCCTCTCGCTCTAATTGGTAAGCAGTGTTTTCCTAAACTTCAGCTCTACAAATATCACTTTTGAGATTTTTGGCTATATCTGCATAACACCTGTACTATAATTGACTTAATATTCTCTTTAAATTGATTCACTTTTTAATTTAGTTTCACCTGAATTATAATGTCTGGGAAACCAGGGTTTTGATGGGCTAATTATATTTTTCCAGATATACTCCAAAATAAATTGATAATTATACCAATAAAAATATTTGCACATATACCACCCCAAACATTTGCATTGGTGGTATGTGTTACACATTTTAGGAAATCCTGTGATGGAGTCTGTATAAAGCCTTCCATGATCTGGCTCCTGCTTATTGACCTCATGTTCCGCCCCTTCCCTCTTGCCCACAAGTTCACTTCCAAGTTCACTAAGCTTTTTGTTACTCAAACCTGCCAAGCCCATTCCTTCCTCAGAGACTTTGCACTGGCTGCTATCTCTGCCGGAAACACTTAACCTGTATCTTTGTATATCTGGCTCTTACTAGACAGAGAGGTCTTAGCTGGGTGGCTCCTCCACAGGGAACTTCCTAGTCTATCTCATCCCCTATTCTATCCCACCCTATACCTTCAAAGCACTTTTCAAGATCTGACATGGCCTGTTTATTTTTTTGCTAATTTATTTATTGTTTATTTGTGCCCAGTACAATGTAAACTTTGTAAAAGCAGAAATCTTATTTATTCTGTTAGCTCCACTTTCCCAGCACTTAGCACAAGCTTGGCACATAATACATGCTCTATAAATATTTGTTAAATGAATAAAAACTGTAGAAAACAGGTGTACAGGGCACTAGTCAAATGAGAATTAAAATACATTTTTATCACCTGCTTGGTAATTCCTAATACACATCTGATCAACAGCTGGAGAAGACAGCTTGGCAGTGAGGCCACTGTGGGGCCTCCAACTCCATCCCTACAATTCACAGGTACACAGGCCACCAGACGTGCCCACCCAGCCACAGACAGAGAAGCTGGCCAAAGGAGACTGGACGACCAGACCTGCCTTTAGAGAACACTTGCAGCAGGAGGTACGAGGTGAGGAGAGAGCAGGCAGAGGACCAGTCACTATGCTGAGGGTCACAAGCAGCCACGGTGGCTTAGAGGCTGCCAGCCTCCACCAGATTGGCTCCTCCTGGGGGAGGCAGGGGCTGCAAGTGAGGGTGGAGGAAAAGTCAGGGATGTTGAAAAACTTGTAAGTGTCCAATCCATACCTTGAAATGGGAAATGAGGAGACATGGTTTTCCTTGTAAAAGAAACCATTCCACAAAAGGGATCCAAGATGAGGGAAAAGGCCACTGTTCCCCCTGCCACAGGGTGTTTATCTTAGAAGCTGTGAGGCATCTCACTGACCCCTCAGAACTGGTCACTCATCCTGCCACTCAGTACTTCTGTGGTCACAGCTGAATCTCTTCCCAGGAATTGGCCTAGGCGGGAGGGAGCTACTGTACCCAAGACAACACCCATCCTGGGACAGCTCACACGCAGTGTCTAGACAACGTGGGCTATGAAGGCTGGGCTCCTTGCCTCAGTTGAGGCTGGTTCTGGAGGGCCATGCCAGCCCTACACCAATGCAGCCTGCCGTCTGATCCTCTCCTGTCTCCAGTCTTGCTTCCTTCACATTCCCAATAAACCTCCTGCTCACAAAGTCCCATCGCAGAGTCTGTTTCCCAGGGAACTCAAGGACAGCAGGTGTAAAATCCTAGTTGGCTATGCCCCCCCACGATCAGTTGCCATATTGCCTAGATGAGAACTAATTCCTCACCAAAGGCTTTTATTAGATTTGCTTCCTATACTTGAAGTTGATGTTCAAATGAATGACATGTTGGAGGTCCTGAAAGAATGGGAGGTTATTCCCTTAAAACTTCTTAAGACAATAAAGGTTAAATTAAAGGAAGGCTATAAGAATAGCCTTATGACATAAAAAGTCACATCATATTTCTATAGCAGTTGATATTTCCCAAATCTGTTCCACATGGAGCTCCAGACTCCGTTTATGAGCCGCTCCATTTGCTTGGCTGTACCTGTCCCCCAGGCCCTCAGCATGCTCAGGGGAGAGCCCTGCAGCTCCTTCCCTGCCAGCTTCTCAGGCACCCTTTGCTGCCCTCATGCCAGCGTGGGCTCTGGTGTGGCCTCCACCTCACTCGGTGCATGGGAACCCCACTGCAGCAGCTCCCAGGCCCGGGACTGAGAGGCAGGACCATGTGAGCTTGTCTCCTCTCACTGTTTTTAGATTCAGATGAGGAGGCAGATTTCGGGTCCCCAGTGGCTGCGCAGAGGAGCAGGGTGATGCCACCTGGAAGTCCATGTGAGTTCATTCTCCATGGGGTGAAGTTTGACCATTCAGAGACTAGAAGTATAGGGAGAGGACTTGTACCCTCATTCTTCCTGTGTCCTTTGACAGACACACCGCAAAGGTTCCATAGGGCCCATCAATGAACATCTCACTGAACGGAGCACTGGCTGCCCTTCCAGGCAGTGCTGTGACCAGTACGATATGCACCTTCTTGGACTTGTCTCCCCTCCTTTCCATTTCCCCTCATTCTTGCTACTTTGGGGATTACAATCCACCAAAAAAGCATCAGCACATAAGCTCATGTAAAATTTGGTTCATGTGTTTTTCCTGGACAGCCCAGGTAAAGACACAGGCATTAACTTCTTTGCTTGATTTTCATGAGAAGTTGTTCTACAGGGGTAGGAATTATTACTGCCACCTTCCGTTGAGTAAAGTACAGGTGAAATAAACTACCCAAGACCAAAGATACACAGAAAGTGGTAGATCAGGACTCCCACTATCTGTTCTAGATCTAATTGTGTTTTTTTCTTACACTTGTATATAAGTTTCCATCAACAGTTATAAGAACCAGTTAACTATTTCTCCTGTAAGAGTGGTGTCCATGGGTGGAAGTGGGGGTAGCAATCACTAGAAAGGAGATTGAAACACCTCCTGAAAGGTGGCAGATGACTTGAGATGACAGACCCATTGACTCCTGCAAATGTTCATTTCCACAGGGTCAAAATCAACCTGGACTCTATGACTGATGGGAGTAAAGAGCCCATTGTTGCCAGGTGTATTAGTTTCCTAGGGCTGCCTTAACAAATTACCACACACTGGGTGGCTTAGAAATACAGAATACAGAAATGCATTCTTTTACAGTTTTGGAGGCCAGTATCCTGGGTCAAGGTGACAGTAGGGCCATACTCCTTCTGGAGACCCTGGGGAAAACCTGGTCCTTGCCTCTTCCCGCTCTATGCTTGTTGGCAATCTGGGACCTGGGGGTTGCATCTCTCTCTCTGTTCAGTTTCCATTTGGCCTGTGCGCTCTGTGTCTGCATTATCATCTTTGCCTTTCTCTTACAAGGACACTTGGGATGGCATTTAGGGCCCTGTCAGTAACCTTGGGTAATCTCCTCATCTCAGTATGCTTAATTTAATTACATCTGTGAAGGCTGTTTTTCACAAAAAGGAAACTGATGAATTCCAGGCCTTAGGGATTGATGTACTTGGGCAGCCAAGTTGTTCAGCCGCTGCGCTACGTGATAGGCCACTCACTTGGCCTAGAGACACTGAAGTGTCCTTAAACATGCTTAAAATCAGTTTTGAATGTTCCTTCCCATGGCGCATTTGTCATAGCTGGAGCAGACGAGGAGTGGTCTAGGCTGTAGAGGTGACTGGAGCCAAGCTTTCTGTTTATCCAGAAGTGAGCTGCAAGGGGCACCAGGGAATTTCCCCTGCCTGGCTCAGCTTGCCAACCGTAGGTATGGAAGGTCTTTCAGGCACTGTCTGGTTGGTGACACCTCCCCTACTGCTGGGACCATGGGGTACACTGGCTGTGTTACCTAGGTTTGAATTTTCAGTTGCTGTCAATAATCCTGATCCAATATTTATATTTTGCAGAACTATCTCATGGCAAGTTTTGGAGGAAAGAATCCTCCTAATCACAAATATTTGCAGTACCTGACCTTGCTGCACTTTGGCCAGTGATGTTGAAAGTGGGGTCATGTGCAGCCCTGGGGTACCCTACAGGCAGGCCTGTTCGATCAATGTGTCGGAGATGCCTCCTGTGGAGATTAAGGAAAACAGAACAAACTGTGCCTGATGGAAAGCCAGGTGCCATGTGAAGAGAGCCTTAGCAAATACCAGGTTCCTTCTTTGGTTTATTCCTAAGCAGCTTCCTCTCCATTTTCCTCAAGGGCTTCACCTAATGTTAATTATCATCTTTGTCTTCAAGTTCCTCACCCAATTCCCAACTCCAGTAGTCTTCTAGTAGTTGCTTCCAGTAGTCAATATCACCTTCAATTTCTAGAAAATTGAAGCCCCCTCAGTTCCAACCCCCACCCCACCCCTGACACCTGTAAATCTACCTTTATACCCATCCTTTCTTCTTTCTCTCAGTCTTAGAGCCATTCAGAGTTAGGTCTACGACTGACATGGAGGTTTAGCCTTTCTTAAGTCCTCCAGGACTTCCCACCAATTAGTCCTCCCTCATTTTAGTATAAAGCTTTATTGAGATATAATTCATGTACTATAAAGTGCCCCCTTTAAAATGTAAAATTCAGTGTGTTTTAGTACATCTGTAAAGTCTTGCATTAATCACCACTCTCTAATTCTACAGTACTTTTATTATCACAAAAAGAAACACCACACCCATTAGCAGTCAGTCCTCACTCACATTCCCCTCACCCTCTCTTACTCTAGACCCCCAACACCCCCAGCCCCAGCTCTAGGTAACCACTTATCTACTTTTTGTCTCGTAGTTTTTCTACTCTAAACATTTCATATAAAAGAGCTCATAAATTAGCAGTTTTTTCTCACTATCTTCTTTCAGTAAGCATAATGTTTTCAAGGTTAATTCATTTTGTAGCATCTATTAGTTTGTCATTCCTTTTTATGGATGAATAATATGCCACTATATTTGTTTATCCATTTAGCAGTTCATGGACATTTGGGTTGTTTCCATTTTTTTGGCTACCATGAATAATTATGCTATGAACATTCAGGTACATATTTTTGTTTGGACACATATTTTCTGTTCTTTTGAGAAGGTAACTAGGAGTGGATTTTCTTCCTTTCTTTGTTTCTTTTTTTTTTACTGTATCATATGGTAATCCTATATTTAACATTTTGTGGAACTGCTACACTGTTTTCCAAAGCATCTGTATCATTTTACATCCTCACCAGTAATGTATGAGGGTTCTAATTTCTCCACATCCTTATCAACATTTGTTATCTGTCTTTTCTATTATATTCATCCTAGTAGATGTGAAATGTATCTCATTTTATTTTTTATTTATAATTCCCTAGTGACAAATGATATTGAACATCTTTTCATGTGCTTATTGGCTATTTGTAAGTCTTCTTTAGAGAAATGTCTATTCAGATGTTTTCCTATTTTAAAATCAGGTTTTTCTTTTTATTATTGAGTTGTAATGGTTTTTCAATATGTATTATCTGGGTACTAGCCCCTCATTAGATACATGATTTCCAAATATTTTCTAGTCTGTGGATTGTCTTTTTACTTTCTTAATTTTTTCACCTTTACTTTTATTTTTGTTTTCTTGTGTTTATAAAATCACAGCAGTTTTGAAATTAGATAAAGTCTAATTTATCTATTTTTTGCTGTTGTTTCTTTTAGTATCCTGTCTAGGAACCCATCACCTAATTTAATATCATAAACCTTTATTCCTTCATTTCTTCTAAGAGTTTTAGCACTTTTCTCTTACATTTAGATTTAAGATCCATTTTGAGTTAATTTTTATATATGATATAAATTAGGGGGTCCCAATTTATTCTTTCACATATGGATTTCCAGTTGTCCCAGTACTTTTTGTTGAAAAGATTGTTCTTTCTCCCATTGAATTGTCCCGACACCCTTGTCAAAAATGACCGTAACTATAAGCCTTCATTTCTGGATTCTCAATTTTATTCTATTGATCTATTTGTCTTGTTTATGCCAATACAAACTGTCTTGATTACTATAGCTTTGTAGTAAGTTTTGAAATGAGGACATATGA